CCAGGTGAATATTTTGTGCTAAAAACTGAAATCTGAAAAATGTCCTAAAATTATTTTTCAAAGTTTTATCTTTTCCTACATGTTCCTCGTCAAATTAGGACATTTAGAGAACATTTTTAGAAATGTATTTGTTAGATTTTTGTCAAAATTTGAACTAAAAAACTAAAACATTTTGACGAATATTTTTGTAAAAGTACTTTTCAAAACTGTATCATTTCCTGCATGTCAGTAAATATTTTAAAAACAACAATCACAACATCAGAATTTATTCTGATGTGGTTGTGATGTTGTTGTTCCACTTTTTCCCAAAAATTCCATATCTTCAATTATTAAAACCAATATCTTATTAAAATGACCCAGACAAATGTCTTCTAAACACAGCTATGTCATCCATGTTGAGCGCAATCACAGCAGTGATGTATTGAGAGCTTTAATATTTTTATTTGTTTTTACATTTTGTACAATGTGAAAAAACATACAAGAGTCACATGAATTCTGTAGGGAGGAACCAGAAATAAAAGTTAAACAAACACTACTGCACGTTGGCCTCACAGTTGGATGTGGAGTTTTGATAATCATTTAACATCACATGGTAGAGCAGGAATATTAGCTTCTGTTGTAAGATTGTGCTGTACAGCAGCCAGTTTAAACACCAGTGAAGCCAGCATGCAGACGCCATGCCCACGACTCAAACTCAAGTGCCTCTGAATTTGGTAAATGGCAATAAAATAAATCCTCATAGGAGGGCAAATAATAATAATAATAATAAAAAGAAATTCACCATTATTCCAATATAAAAAACACTGAAATCAGTAACAACCCTCAACAGCATGCAATAGTTTTCCATGACCTCCCACCCCCACGCCCCAGTCTCATCTGTGAACATTGCATATTCTGCATTGCAGTAACTTGTTAGTTTCTCTAGAGAAATTTTACTCTCAAGTCCAATTTGTAGGCGGGCAAAAGGAGTCGCAACATGACAGCATGGCACTGGTGAAGTGGTGGAAACAAAAGATAAACCAGCGTGAGAGCGTTACAACCTTTACGCAAGTGCTCCGATGAAAATGTTTTTTTATCGTAAGTTCAGAAAGGACAGATGTCGGCCTGTGGTGTGGAGGCTTGAGCAGAACAGGTAAATTCACAGCTAGTGAAACATGAGCAACACAAACGTTAACATCCAAAAGAAACCGTTTCCACACCGGTCGCTGTGAACGCACTCTTCTCCGGTTGTGTGCAAATCATGTTAGAAGAAACTTGTGGGTTTTTTTTTGTCATTCTGCAGAGTCACAGACACATAAGTGAACGAGTCAGAGGGATGCAAGGCACTAACGTGTTCCTCGTGTGTACAAGTTAGAGTGCATGTGCACGTAGAGTGGGTCACCACAAGCAGACTCTAACCACTGATACGACGGTACGTAAAAGGGCTTACCTCACGTTCACATATATACAATAAAATAGAAAGGGGCTGTGTGAGGGAGGGAGTGGGGGGACGGGAGGGAAGGGGAGGGCAGGGTGGCCAGAGCATATAAGAGCTTAATAAAGCACAGGATGGACTCCTGTGTGGTGAGTAGAATACCAACAACCCCGCAATTGCACTTTTTTCTTTTTTAAAATCCTTTAACTATATGTTGTTTAACAACTTTTAATAATAATTACAGTGAAACAACATCAAAATCTGATGGCTGAATACAGGTCCATAAAGAACATTTGTTTGTCTTATTAAATAACGCATATAAAAACAGACCACAGGAAGAGAACCCCAGACACTTGTGACGCGAGTGGTGACAGCTAAATGTAATGAGAGGGGAAAAAAAAAAAACACTGATGTGACACTATTGCACTGCTAATGCATTCCGTTCGTTCATGGGTGTAATCAACGTAAACATTTAAAAGGACGGCAGAGGTCACGCCTCCCAACACCCAAAACCTTCGAATCATGTAGATAAACCAAAACTGTAAATGCCTCGAGTATTAGAAGAATCCTCAACAAACAATTCTTTTTTATATATAGTTTAAAAAGAAAAAAAAGATCTACAGCAGCAATGGTGTCACCTCTTCATTTTTCAAAAAAATAGGAATGGTGCTCAACACCATATCGGGGATCATCTTGGAGGCAGATGCCAATCACACATGTCAAAGGAGATAGGAGAAAATATATCAGGATGATGAAAAAAATCTTTATAATAGAGAAGACTCATCAAAATGACACCAGACTCTCACAAGACATAAATGTACTCTATGTGGAATCATAAGTCAGTGTAGAAATATCTATGTACAAAAAAAAAAAATCTATATGTTTACATATGTGGGGATTAAGGCAACAGTTACAAGGGACCGTCTACTTTTTATTTGGCCATTATTGCATTTTAAATCAAAGGTAACCACTGGGATGCATCCATAGTTCCATTCACATCCTTTCCCATCCAGCGAAACTTACTTACTCCTTCCTTCTCCTCTGTCATGCTTGCTAACAACCGTCTCCCTTCATTCTGCCTCAATTATAATTCTCAGTCTCCTCCCTAACATCCATAAACCTCTGTCAAACCTTTGTCGGACTCTGTTGGAACCTTTTCCACAACTCAAATCAAAATATTTTGTCCTAGTCTCATCCTTTATTTTTCTTACACTCCCCTCACGCTGTCTGCGATCCTAAGTCAATCAATGAGGCTATACTTACTAATCAAGTGTGTGTGTGTGTCTGTTTGTTGTTGAATTATTTTTATGCCACTTCAGTTTTTAAAGGTCCAGTGTGTAATAATCACCGAGGTCTAATGGTGACCACCAAATTTCCCTAAACACAAATGCTCAGCTATTACTTTTCCAGCCAGTTTGGGGAAATACGAGTTTTGCGTTTGTGCTGCTTTAGGAACTTGGCGGCACAAGATGTCGGCCTTCATGAAACAAAGGCCTCACAGAGAACATTATGAAAAGCACTGAAACAAATGTATTTGCGAGTACGAGAATCGATTTCACATAAAACACCTAATAGGTACAGACCCGGAGCTTGAATTAGCGTGGATGCTAATCAAAGCCTCCCCCCCTTCAAAGTTAGAACATCGCAACATTTACTCTCAAGAGACGAGTCAGTCGTGTTCCCAAAAAACCCAACTGACTCGTGTGTCACAGCTCGTAATATCCACAGCTAATGGCAGGCTGAGTGTCAGATTTTTTTTTTTTTTTGCTGTGGATGTGTATTGCACTCTCCCTCCATTAATTGATTTGTTCTGCCTGAGAGGACACCGACCGATCCCCAAATGATACACAAAATGATAAAAGGAAACAATGTCGAGGCATCCAGCTACTAAACAGAAAGGAGCTCAGGGTTCTACATTTACTGTCTGCAACTGACCCAGCTACGTGGGTCGCAAGTTGGATCCTCCGTGACTGACGGACTTTTGTGGTGCCGGTGTGGCCCCAATGTGGTAGCTTTGGTGCAGTGGCACCGACGCTGTGGTGGGTGGCTGATACTGAGTTGCTGTCTGTGTGGGATTGAGCATGTTGACCTGGCATGTACCTGTGGATCCTGCCCATTGGGGGGCGCTGTATTGGGCAGAGGTGTAACAGAACCCCTGACCTACTGGTCCCAGAGTGGCCGGGCGAGTCCCCAGAGAGGTGGAGGAGTTTCCGCCGCTGCTCAGGTGGATGTTAGTGGTGGAGTTGGGGGCGGCGGGGATTGTCGGACAGAGGTAAGCAGGAGCGGAAAATTTACGGCCCAAGTTGACCGGTGGAATGATCTGTAAAAAGAGAAACAAAAAAAGTGAGAAATTATCTTTTCTTTTCATATTAAACATAATCATTATTTCAGTGGTCTCTAAACTTTTTTGACCTGTGACCTCATTTTGACACACTTGTGGTGACCCCAGAGACATGTTTTATTTGCTATACTGTGTCGGAGTACAGAGTAGTCAGATTAGTGCAGTGGGGGTTTGAGTCAGAATTTTAAAAAGAATAATAAAAAGTTAAAGAAATATTTTTATCAGTAATTTGTTGATCAATTACTTTACGTTTCATGTGATTCAGTTTGATATCCAAGTGACCCAAGGTGGAGTCATAACCCTTAGGTTGAAAACCACTTGGACTTCTGTTATTTCGTGTTATTTGGACTTCTATCAGGCAAAGGGAATACACCTTTTAAAATTTTAAAAAGAATAATAAAATTATTACCTATCACACCATCAGTCGTGCATTCTGTTTTTGGTAACAGTCGAATTAGTATTTTTTGCTTTTTTTGTTGTTGTTGAAATTCTTCAAAATCCATTCTCTGAGTTAAACATTCAGAGTTTAAAGTCAGATTTTTTTTCCCCTCAATGCAATGTGTTTACGCGATCTCCTTATGTTTACAATCAGCTTCTGGATGAGTAAGTATTTTAACAATGTGTAATGCCACTTGTAAACCTGTATTCCTGTGTACATAGTACAGGTAACCAAGATATTATGTCGATATCATTCTTTAGAAAACTGAGACTTTGTGTGACTTCTCTCTGACCTTGGCTGTTACCTACAGAGATTCCTCCAAACATATCCGATCTTTTATCTGATCTCTAAGTATCCATTCCACAGGGTAACAGGCCTGTTTCTATAAATCACAATTTTACCCCCGAGGCTCAGTGTAAATCAGTGAGCCACATCCACATCTATGCATGAAATACTGATGACACAGAATGCTCCATGAACGATGCAGAGGATCTGCTTTAAAAAAAAAAAAAAAAAAAAAAAAAAAAAAA